TTCCTAATTTTATTTAGAAATTAAGAAGCATTTAATCGTTTATCAAAATTTGTTATACTGTTTCTAATACATAAATACCAAAATGAAGTGATATGACCTATGAACTAAAGTGAACAACACTTTATTAAAAATATATATTTAAGAGTAATATTACAGCTGAAAAATTTGAACTTACATTATAATGTAAAATATATTATTAACGGGCAGTTTCTTGTATGAATATATACACATAAGAATATTTCCATGGTGTAGATTTAATTAGTAATTATGCGAAAGTAAAATCTCCAATTATACATATAGAGGAACGCTAAGGAGAAGCGGAAATAAAATCAAATACATTGTTCATGTAATATGTATTAAAGCATTTTTAGAATCAGCATACGCACATTCATGGTTAAATTTGAGCAATAAAGTTGAGATCACGGGAATTAAGAACTTAAATAAACCTTTTTTTCTTGAACACTAATCTTTTCTATGTTACACCTCATGTGGGATAATATGTGCCTTGTATGGGAACCAGATGAGATAATCAGGGACAAAATGAAGTAAGTGTCATTATTGATACATTATACAAATCAGCCTAAGATTCATGTGTCCACAGCTGGGTAGAGGTAAACAAAAATAAAAACAAAATTCTCTTGACAAGAGTATTGCTTAATTTATTCGTGACTTTTTAGCAGTCCTTTTTCCTTTTTTAGCCTTTTTAGAAATTGTGTCAATTTTCTCTTGAGCTGCTTTTTTTGTAAAGTTAATAACATGCTTTACGACAATTTCGATGTTCTCAAAAATATCGGAAATTTTGCCCATATCATAAACTTTATGTTAAAGTGTCTGTTGTGACGCGAATCTTATTTTTGTTGAACACTGTGTTCCGCGTCTCTCACACGCCAACCGAATATTGTGTGAGTTAAATGATTTCTTGGTATAGGATATACAAGTGTGAACTATTCTTACTGTAAACTGCTATTTTAATCTTTTTGGACAATTTGTGAAAATTGGGGCGAGTTGGTCTTTCCTCTCTATTTTATCTTAAAACGTATGGTGACGGAGTGGCCTATGGTGACGAATAGGAACCCTTCTTCGTCTTGGGCTGTCCTCTATGAGTAGCGAGTACACGACTCATCTTGGATTTCTCCAGTCGACAGAGTGGTGGCATGGTATTGTGGCGGGGGTGTGAGACCCAGAGGCAGGTCAATCCAAATGTGACTGAAATGTGTGCATGTGTGTGTAGTGGCTTTACGACATATCAATTGCTATTGAAGGAAATGTACGGGCATCAGTAAGGCGCATGACACGCAGAAGCGTTGAGTTTCTACGTCCATAAAACACCTTCTGGTTCTCAACATCGCTTCGAAAAGAAAAGTAAACACACAAGAATTTAAATTAGAAGCCCTCAAAAATAGCAGACCTGGTCGTCTGTGTATATCGTGTACAAGGTTGGTCCAAAGACATTTCCTTGAGGAACTCTTGCGTTTATATTCTTCATTTATAAATGTGCATCTTTATTTTTTACTGTGAAAGTTCTATTATACAGGCATAACGAAAGTAAATTGTATATTTGTTTGGGGAAATGAGCCTTAATAGTTTGTACTAGTTAGGACTATATGTATATGCCATACCTTGTTGAAGGCTTTTTCAATATCCATAAAAAGTGCTGAGTACCATTGCTTATTTTCTATTGCATGATTTATTTCATTGATTATTCTGTGCGTTTGTTCGATGGTTGCGTCTTTGTCCCTGAATCCAAATTGGTGCTCTGGTATTAGATTTTATCTTCTATAATAGGTTTCAATCGGTTGAGAATTATTCTTTCCATGATTTTTGTTAGCACTGAAAGTAGCGAGATTGGTCTGTAAGACGCAAGTTGTTGGAGATCCTTGCCTGGCTTGAGTATCATTATTATTTGTGCCATTCTCCAGACGCTCGGAAAATATTATACTCTTAGCACTGCGTTAAATATAATAGTATCGTGATCATCCTTAGGAAATTTTAATTACATTCAAACGCAAATATCTTGAAATTGAATGATGAGAATGGTATGATTATTAAGGTCGTTGAATTTGTTTTTTCACTCACTACAAGGATATTGAAAGAAAAATATAGGGTTCCATTTAAAAAAAATAGCGATGACATTGAAGTTTCGTAAAAAAATGACTTTGAGAAAAAACTGTTATCACGATTACATGTGCCCCTGAAATAGTGTAACTTTGTCCTGAACAGTTCCTTCATGCAACAAAAAATTAGGCAGATATTTAGGTGATCCCCGTTAGTTGAGCCACCAATATAGAGGAAACCCGGCCAAAACCGGATATGTACTTACATGGTTAAAATTGGGACCTAGTATTATTTTTAAAACGGTTTGAAATATTCCCGCGTGTATGCAGCCATAAATTGACGTCATTTAGATCAGTGCATAAACAAAATATAATCGCGATGCATATGTGCCTTTTCACGTTATAATACTTTTTGTGTTTGTAAGGGGTTTTCAGTTTAAACAATGCTTCGTCCCGATAATTTCAAAAACTATATTTATTTCGTCGTTGACTACGCGGTTCAATTTATTCTCCTACAATCCTTACAATTCTCACGATTCTCACAATTCTTATAATTCTCACGATTCTCACAATTTTTATAATTCTGCCCGCAGTGCTTCTAACGCGTCCTTATATGCCAGCCTTGACGCCCCACTCTTGCCTTCGGAAGACCCTGGCGCAAGTTGGGGGTTCCTACCCGGCAAGGACCATGTCGCGCGAGCACCTGGCTGGGTCCTTACCTGACCCAGCCCTTAGACCGAGAGGTCTGCGGGTCATAATCCGGCCCGAGTCCCTACCTTCAGTCAACCGTACTCTTACATGTTTGTCAGTGCTCTGGTTGAATTTTCACCGAATTATAAACTTCATAATTGCTGATATTGTTAAGGTAAGTATAATACTTTTTGGTATGAATTATGCTATTTGTCATGTATTAAAATATGAATTCGTAAAAGAATTATTTTCAATTCGTCATGGTGGTATCAGTAATCTGTAATATTTAAAAAATTGCATACTGACAAGGAATGTCTCAAACATTTTTTCGACGAGTACCACTATTGTCGAAACTACATAGAATAATTGCTATACACACTGTATGTACTTATAATTTATAAATCGCTCCACCTTTGCCACGATGTCATAGGTGAATAATAAAAACAATTAATCCTTTCATTGCTGTTAAGAAACTTGTTACTGTCATTGATATTTGTTACTTGTTAATGTATAATTTAATGCAAGCCTAAGGTGCTTCATTAAAATCAAAGTTAGAACGGCTACTACCATAGTGGATGTGTGCGCAATATGTAAATCATCAAAATCTGCAAAACTGTAAGAGGCAATTTTAAAATGTTATATACTAATGGATTTGGAATAAAATGCTCGTCATTTTTTGTCATTATGAAAATTTCAATAAAATGAAAAATTAAGTTAATAAATTTTTTTTGTTATAAACAAACTGTATTTTGTTAAATTTTTTAACACCATGTTATTGTACGTCAGAAACCATTAACCTCGCCCATTAACAATTTTTTCGTATGACTTACCGTTTTCGAGATAGGCGTTTCGAGCCAAAATTTCAAGGGGTGGTTTCACCACAAAACCAGACGGGGTAAAATAGGATTACAAACGCATTAACATTATTAAAACAATATTTCAGATAGATATTACTTGATTGCATTTTTTTATTCATAACGCATCGTAATATTTTAATTTAACCTTATTTTTAGACTCCAACAAAATGCCTCGTAATTACAAAGAACAATAACACGACAATCTTGGTGCATCTAGATTGATCGAAGGTTGGGTGCAGTGTATAATTTGCTCTGTGAAACTTAATGAGATTCTTTTAGGTATATTAGTGATGTAGCCGTAATTGCATTTAACTATATAATAAAAGTTCTACTTATCTTTTAAGACCTTTCCTCTTTATAGCATTATCATAACATTTCTTAATAGTATCTAATATATGCACCAATAAAATTGCAGAGGTTGAATATTGTGTATAAGTTTCTCGTTGTTATTAACAAACTTTAATGCAGAACAATCATATGGCATGAAGCTTGTTGTGAAAGCAGCGAAATGAAATCTAAAGCATAACTTGAACGATAAACTGAACCCGACGAAGCGATCAGTCCGACGTTTTCCTATTCCTTCTCACGTCAACGATCGTTGAAATGTCACGCTAGAACAAATTCGAAGAAGCAGCGTTTCGTGAGAGAACGAGCATCGTACTGCCAGTCTATATCTTCCTATCGATGTTCTACCGTCAACTTGAATAAGATCATGAAATTTACGGCCTACTTCTTCTGATGTAACAAGCCATCGCAACGTCCACGGACGACAGTTCGATTGCTTTCTCACCCGAATCGATCGTTCCTCTGAGCTACTATTGCAGAACCATTCGATCTGTTAACGCTGATTCACACTAGCGTTCATCAGATGCGATGTACAACTGATAACTAAACCCACCGAAAAAGTTCTTACACTGTTTTAAACATGAGTATTCACATGTCCAGTGACATCATATACACTTACAATCGGTTAAATTTATGTCATCTAACGAAATAACCTTTTGCATAGTGCAAACAGATCAATCACACCACTACCACATACCCTATTGTATAGGGCAGTACTCCGCAACCTTTTATCTTCCACGGCACACCAACGTTTTTTCGACAATTCCGCGGCACACCACAAGTAAAAGCTTGCAAATACATAAATTACAATAATACGTATATGTTTTTATTAGATAAAAAACAGAATAAAATAGCTCTATGTATGTAGATATTTACTTTTATTTAAGTTTTATATAAAGCAATTTGAATTGTACACCAACACAAGAACAAAAATATATAGTTATAGATTACATGTAAAAAAAATTTCCTCTTTAAATTTAAATATAAAGTTTGTTGTTTGGTATTTACTTACGCCTATTTAATCAATGTTAATTTAAACATAATAACTAATTTATTAATGAGATATTTGAGCTTGTTTTGATGAACATATACGTTTTATATTTGGCTCTATATTAGAAAGTGCTACCCGAAGTTCGTGGTCAAGACCCTTTAAACACGATCGTTTGTCATTTTTAATTAGAACCAGTGTCGAAAAACTTTGTTCGCATAAGTATGTCGTAGAAAAAGGGAGCAAAATTGCAATAGCCTTGTCAGAAATTTGAGGATATTCTTTCTTAACTGAAATCCAGAAATTAGCCAATGGCATTTCACTGAAGTTGAGTTTCAGCGTCCCGTCGTTCCTCAATTCTATAAATTCCTCTCGAATTTGAAGGGAAAGTGCTTCTGTTGAATTTTCGGCATCGGTTAGAAAAGGATTTCTTATCCAATTGTATTGCTCCGTATTAATTGTGAAAAAATAGTGATTAAATTTCTCTTGCAACAAACTTAAATGTGGTTGAGTCAGATCCAGAATTAATTGTTTGTTTTTAATCATCGACTTGTAAGTCCTTTGGAACATTTCTAGAGATCCTTTTTGTAACTCTTTCTGCCAAAGTTCAAGCTTATTTTTAAACCCCATTAACTTGTCGGAACACGTCAGATAATTTTCGCTTCGACCTTGCATTTTTTTATTCAGTTCATTCAGGTGCTCAAAGATATCAGCCATATACGCAAGTTTGGCCATCCAGTGATTATCTTCAAAAAGTTGGTGTAGTTCGGTCATATTTTGTTTTAACAAAAACTCACGAGCCTCGTTGCGAAGCTCAAACAATCTAGCCAAAACTTTGCCTCGGGATAGCCAACGTACCTCAGTGTAAAACAATAGGGATTCATAATCCGATCCCATTTCTGCACAGATTAGTTTAAAAATTCGCGAATTTAGGGCTCTTGATTTAATAATGTTTATGATAGTAATGCATTGATTCATCGTTTGCAATAGTTCTGTTGGCAAGTTCTTGATCATCAATGCTTCGCGATGTATGCAACAGTGTGTAATTTCTATATTAGGATTTTGCCGTTTTACGCACGAAATAAAACCTTTTTTATTGCCCATCATTGCCGCAGCACCATTTACTCCACCACAATTACTCCATGGAATATCATAGGTTTTGAAAAAATCATCTGTTACTCGGAAAATTTCCTCGCCGGTAGTTTGCTCTGGAAACTCGTTGCAAAATAAATAGTGTTCTTTTATGGTTATGGTGCCCTCATCAACGAAACGTACAATAGCTATCAGTTGTGCTCGGTTTTTAATGTCTGTTGGCTCATCAATTTGAAGTGCAAACTTCTGAGCCGTTTTCAGTTTTGCAATTAGTATTCCTAAAATATCGCTCGACATATCGTTGATACGTTTTTTAACAGTATCAGCTGACAACGGTACTTTTTTCACTTCGTTAACTTCTCTAGGCGCAAGCATGGATTTAACAATTTCTATGCATGCTGGTTTAACGAGTGTCTCACCAATAGTATGTGGTTTTTTCTGACGTGCAATTAATCTTGCAACATGGTAACTAGCTTCTATGGCTTTATCAGAAACTGTGACTGACGATAACAGTGATTGCCTTTGTTTTCGCCTTTGATCTAACAGCCTAAGAAAAAATGATTTATCCTTCTTAGCGTAACTGCGATGGTTTGAATTTAGATGGCGAAGCAGTTTACTGGGTACTATTGCTTCGTTAGATAGCATTTCTCCGCAGATGATGCATTCTGGTTTGGGTGGTGTTTCTTTATCACAACACGAAAATCCATATCGAATGTAGTCTTCGTTATACTTTCTTTCCCAAATCTTCTGTTTTTTTACAGCACCACTTGTGCTAGGTTCATTATCATTTGCCAGTGAATTCGAATATTTTCCTCGTAAATACTGGTCCATATTTTTTAAGGGTATAACAATAATATTACCTAAAAATGCGGTGTTCGGTGGGTCAACGTCTTTATTCTTTCGCGTTTGGATGACGACTGATTAACGGTCATAGGTTCGGTAGATAGAACAAAAGTGCGTCGTCACTCGGACACAAAGGTGCCGACGCTCGAGCGGCGCAATACGAAAAGTCCAAAAAGCGAAGGCTTGAGTGGGCCATGTGCAGTCTTCTGCTGCGTTTCCCCCTCCTAGGGATAGTTTTGCCTCAAGGCTAAGAAAGGCCATATTGTCAAGGGGGTCCTCTTGACTAGTTTTTTCAGGAAGGACAGAATTGTATCAGCACTCGTGCAGTATAGTTCAAAATACAAGGATTCACCCTGTTTAACCGCCCACGTTTATATTTTATTCCACCGCTCACCACCGTTATCCTGACCGTTTTTACCTTACACAATGTAACTACATGTTTTTGTTTTGTGTATAATTTCGACTCAGAGAAATTACATATTGGCAAAAAGTTAGAGGAATATTTAACTTAGAGACATTTCCAACTAATGTGGTGGTCAAAAAATTTAATTATTCTCGAGAAAATCATCGCGGCACAGCCAAGATCACCTCACAGCACACTAGTGTGCCGTGGCACAGCGGTTGCGGAGCATTGGAGTCTATAGTATTATACATGTGTATGTGTGTTGGCGACAATTTATTTAAAAACTTTATTTGCGTATTTAGTAGGTATTTTTGAATAAAAAAAAGGCATACACGTTATAAGTCTATTTCATTTGGTTAACCAATTTATATTATAAATAGTAAAGTAGACATATTTATAGCGAAACGACAATTCAGATATACTTTGTAGTCTCTTATTCTCTTGATCTTGTACAAAATTTCAATTTATTCGCATAATGCTAATTATCTTCGTGGTGTATTTTACCATTGAACTTTACTGCTGTGTAAACTTTTTACTTCATATAACGTCAAAAGAAAGAATCTAATGAATTTAAACCCTACAATTCTGGTAGCCATGTCACAGACCTACATACCTCTACTAATGTATTATTCCGCAAAACGGCCATTTAACACGGCTAACACTATTCTTTGATCATGATGTAGAGCACCATCTTGTTTTAATCAGAACTTTTCTTTTATTGTAAAAGTACGTTTCTCAAATACAAAGGTACAATATTGTCTATAAAATTTTAGTAATAATCCGCTGCTTGTACCACACATTTACCAAAACTCGATATTGAAATTCGCATTCTACTATATCATATGGATTTTCTCGGTCCCATAATGAGATTTACCACTTTTGTTGATACTGTAACGATTGAACTATAAGTAGGCTTCACCGGCGAGAAGAATGTACGATAGTAAATCCCAATATTCTCGAAGGAAAGTATAAAACTATGAGATACACTATTTCGAGAAGAAAGATACTTATTGAACTTTTCGAGGATGGTATGGGTGAGGTCTGAGAGATCGTAAAATTCATCATATTGTGGTTTTTCGAATATGAGTTGTTAGTGATATTTTATGTACACTTGTGCATCACGTTTATTGAATTTTAAATGTGCAAGCTTTTATCTTTCATTATTCCACAGATTCATACCTACCAGCCTCTATCAGCTACATATAAGGAAACACCTCCTGTGTGCGTGCGCGCATATTGTTACACAAATTTTTTTTTCTCTTTCCTTATTTTCCGTCGCATCAGCTATAAAGTTATTAGCGACGTTGAACAGACATTTTTGTATCGTTATATTTTCTCCATTAATTCTGTATCTTTGATAAAGCTGAGTAAGTTAGGCGTTTTGTTGTGGCTGAAATTTTCTTTAAGAGAAAGTTCCAGTTTGTGCTTATTATGTGGCCACATGTGTATAGGAATTCTCATACGTAATTCTGAAAGCGTGTTTAATGGCCAAAGATTCCGCTGTAAAGAGAGAAGTGTTGTCTGCGAGTTTGATTCTAAATGTAGACTCCGGGGGTGACCACCACATATTCGGTGTCTTGGAGTTAAGAATAATTGGCAAAGTTTTCTTATAAGGCTTCACTTACAACAACAATTATTTATTGAGTCCTGTTACACAGTTTTGTAAAAACTGTGTGTCAATAGTCTGCTGTTGTACGTTCACAATTGTACAGGGTCTTAAAAAATTATTCGTCAGGTCTGTGGGAGGTAATTCTACACCTTTAGATCGATGGAGATCTGTTAAAAAAAGTGACCGCAAAATTGACCTTGAGCTTGATTTTCAAGGTCAAATTGTTTTTTGCTTGCATCGTATTCTACTCTTCGCAAGGATAAAAAGTGTCACAGGAACTATGTGTCGTAGCTCAACCGTTCTCTTGAAAAATGATGTTAAATATCCTATAATTTGCTTCATATATGACATGAAATAGATGACATGAAACAACGAATTAAAAGGAACTATTTAAATGTGAGTGCTGAACAAGTGAACAATGTAATGAAAAATCTAAAAAAGCGTATGAGAAATTTAGAATATAATGATGGAACGTTTGAACATTTGCTGTAGATGTTAAAAAAAATGTTAAATATTTTGAAAAGTATTGGGTTTTTCATGACTTTCTCTTACTCCTTTTTTATTCAGAATGGAACGAGGGAAGCAATTCGTGCAAAGAAAATCGTAGGATTCCATTTGAAAAATAAGTGCAATTTCATTTTGAAGCTGCACGGATGAACTTCTGTAAAAAATCGCACTACACAACGTTAAACAATGTAAAATTTTCCTCTACAATTTTTTCCTATCTTCAATTAAAAGAGTTATAGTCCAGGTCAGTTACTAGACTCACCCTGTATATGTATGTAATACTGACACAAAAATTGCAAAAAGTATTCTAAGTATTCATGATATAGTTTTGGAATAAATATCGTTTGTTTGCACTTTGCGTATTTTTCTTACTTTTTATCGTGATGCATATGTATCTAGGCTCTTATTTTTTAAAATATAATAATTCTTGAACATCGTATTACCATTGATTTCTTGAAAAAAAAATGTTGAGAAAAGTAATAATTTACATAGCATCAATGAAAAATATAACTTAACCCTTTCGCGGACAAGACGACTATGACCGTCATTTTGTCGATCGTTTATTGGGACAAGACGGTCATAGCTGTCGATTCTCCATATAATGGCAAGATGTCTGCGACCGTCTTGAATACACACAAATGTATCTTACCAAGAATATAGAAACAAACATACGATTATTGTGATCTGTTTTTGTTTTTTTGGTGAGAAATATGTAGAGAAACAAGAGATTGGCAGTCAGAATTATACCTCTCTGCGGGAATGAGTCCAGATTATTTTCATAGTTAGAGAAATAGTTTGTTTAAATTCTTAGCATAATATTTAGTGTAGTTTAGTGTAGTTAGGAATTTTAAGTTCAATATAATAATGAATCGTACTAAACGAAGACGGATTATATATGAAAATGAGACAGATGAGGAAGAAATATTTGATATATCCGAAGCTTCCAGTGACAGTGATGAGAGTTACTATCCTGATAACATTGAAAGGAGTGCAGAAGAAGTATCAGAAATAGAAAGTACTATGGATATTTCTGTTGAAACTGACGTCGTTAACGAGGAAAACAATGAAATACAGAACGCTGAAGAGTGGGTCAAAGAAACGAGGGAAATTCCAGATTTTAATTTTAATGTAAATTTATCAGGAGTGAAAATTGATTTTTTGGAAGGTATAACACCTGTTAATGTTTTTAAAACGCTTTGGAACGAGGATGTTATGAATTTAATTTTAAATTCCTCTAACAATAATGGGAACAGACTTGCCACACAGGATCTACCCTCTCCAAAATGTAGTAGGAAAAGTCGTTGGAAAACCCTCGATGCTACAGAATTGTGGAAATCTTTGGGTCTTTGTCTTTTGCAAGGGCAAGTGAAATTTCCGTCAGTAAGACGAATGTTTTCTTACGACCCACTCTATTATCATCCTGTTTTTTCTGCAACAATGTCGGGAAGGCAATTCGAACAAATTTTACGTTGTTTGAGTTGTGAAACGGAGGATGTAATTGAAGATCGCTTGAATAAAATAATACCGTTACTCAATTTGTTAGTGGCAAATTTTCAGACTGTCCTGTATCCTGATGAAAACCTATCCTTAGATGAATCATTATTATTATTCAAGGGTAGGTTGTGCTTTCGGCAATACATGAAAAGTAAAAAGGCCAAATATGGAATAAAATTTTTTGAGTTGTGTACCCCAGACGGCTACGTTTTGAATATCGAAATATATAAGGGTAAAACTAATATAGAAACAAATGTTCCGAAAATACAATCTTTAGTTCTCCGCCTACTTGATCCATATTTATATGAAGGACATCATGTATTTATGGATAATTTTTATAATTCTGTAGAATTATGCAACCGACTTTTAGAGAAACGAACTCACTGTACGGGCACCCTTCGTGCTGATAGACGACAGAATCCAAGAGAAATTACAGGGAGGAAATTAAAAAAAGGTGAACATATATGGAAACGAAAAGGCCAAGTATATGTATCAAAGTGGAAAGATAAGAGGGAAGTCTGCAGCATAACTACACGTTACCACCCAGTACTGATAGAAACGACTAATAGATTCAACCAAACGAAAGTAAAGCCAAAAGATCTTGCAGAATATAATACTTATATGTCTGGTATTGACCGGGTGGACCAAGTAATTTCTTATTATTCATGTCCGAGAAATTCTATTCGCTGGTACAAAAAAATAATATTCCACTTGCTAGATGTAACAGTTTCAAATGCATACTATATGAAATGAAAGAGAGACAAGAAAACTGTATTAATAGATTAGATTTTAGAAATTTTCTAATAAGGTATTTTATCGGTATACTAGCTGATCACTCTGATGGTCGAAAGTTTGTAAAAATAGGATCGAGACACGGAGACAAACGCAAAAGAGCTACTGTAGAAAAACAAGAGGAAGTAAGCCAATCCCACTTTCAGGAAAAGATTCCTGTGCCTGAAAGCTACAGACGAAAGA